ACGATAGAAATTAAATATATTATAGTTTTAATATTTATATATTTCAATATTAATTGTTACAATTGCTTCTTCTTTTGTATTGTAATTTTTAATTTACAAAAAAAGACAGTAGGTGTTATGGGTAATATCGAAATAGATAATAACAAGTTTTCATAAATTGTTTGCTGAAATTATTCACCAAAAATCAATGATCAAACAAGATATACTTGTGAAGTAATATATTTAATTTCTATCGTGTTTTATTTCTAATCTATTCACTTTACATAGATTTTTGTTGTGAACAAATGCATATTAACTTGATTCTATTTTATGTTAATTACCAATAGTAGATGATTTGACGGAATTCTTAATTTCTAACCCACAATGAAAAAGTTGCCTTTTGGCATTGTGTAAAGGAAATTGTAGTTCTACAATAAATTATTAATATAAACAAAAAAATAAATCAAAATATTTTTAAGTATGTCAAATATAGGATTATTATGATTGTTACACACTACAAATGTGCACTTATTGTTCATGGAGACTCTTGGCGTGCATAACTTTTCCACTTTTCTCGAGTACGCAATTAACTTCGTAGTTAGAAACATGAAAAAATCGATTAACTTTTGTACTTGTATGAAAGCGACGATAAAAGGATGATGATTAATAAAACAACAATTATTAAACAGAACAAGAATGATTATTCAAATATAATATCTCATTAATTTTTTATTTTTCTATCAAACTCGTTCAGTTTCAAAAATATTCATCCAACAAATTAATTTTTACAGATTTCCAGATTTCTTTCAAATCATACTTTTCAAAAAGTCAGTTCTTTCATTTCCTTTTTATTTAAAAAAAAAATCGCCTTGCGGAATTCATTTTCAATAAAGCTTACACAATTTGTAGATAATAAATGACAAATCATTTTTCTTCCTTGCAAAAATTGTCAAAGCTACACTATGTTTCCTAACTGCATGCGATCCCTTAATTTGCACTGCAGTCGAGAATAAACTGATGCAACGACCACTTCGCGATCTGTGTGTGTATCTCTCGTTAAAATATACTTGAAAACTTATCGCAATAATCTTGAAAAAAAAACGTCCCTCAAAAAGGTGGTATACATATATGTATAATGACAACGTCTATTGTTAAGTACGCATGTATATAATGGAGTTAACAAGTTCTGTTTGCGTTCTCTGTAATACAAAATATAAGAAACAATAATAACATGTAATTATTTAGGTCACACATTGTCTCCGTATTCGTCTGTATGCTCTTGTTTAATTTTCCCCATACTGCATATAGAAAAATTTCTCTCTCACAGGCTGAAGATTTAACAGAAATTGACGGTGTTTTTATTTCATTTCTGCCAGAAGAAAATGTTCCCTCATTCTTCTTTTTATGAAATGATCTGTGATTATAAGTATCTAATCCATAGCAGAGTCATAATGTCAGCTCGAAACACCTGCGATGCACACCACCCTGCATCTACTCCAAGTTAACGAATTTTCGAGGCCGAAGAGATTGTTTAAAAGTAATAAAGAAGCAACATAGTATGCTGGCCCAGTTACACTATTAGAAATAGTGGCAGCTCTGATTTATAGTTGGTTCTAACGAAGCCAGAGACGCGGGTCAATGTAGCCTATTACGGTTAACGCTTTGTAAAGTAAGTCGCACTCCGGGAATGCGGCCAAAATGATGATTGTCATTTAATAAACTTATTAAGAGGAAACGACGCATCTGTGTATCGAGAATAGTCTCCTAGAAGTAGCTGATAAAAATGAAGGAAGACACACGATCTGGGTCGATGTACCATTTGCGTATTCCGTGAATTGGATTTGCAGTTGAAGCTGCAACATTGAGTAACTGTTACAATTTTTTTTCAGCGACTGCATGCGATAAATTATTGTACAACCTATCTAAAAACCAAGTTATCAATTGCATCTTTAACAGCTAAATTTTTTAAATATGCAACTTGATCGAAAGTCGAACATTTTCTCAAATATTCCATTGATTATATTTATCGATTCTTCTTTATTATTTAATTTATACTGACTTAGATATTTATGGGATTACTCGACGCCATTTTACCGGCCGGTGTCAAGTTTCCTGAGCGAATAACACTTGTTTCTGCTTGTTAAAATGATCAATGCAACTTGTACACACTATGCACTTGTACAAATGATTAACTCAATCTTCCTGACACAAATATATTTAATTTTCATTCTGATAAAGTAGCATTCAAAGTTACAGATCATGATCTATCTTATTTCTCAAAAATTCGAATCATATAGTCACTATGTCCAAGAACTATAGCAATTAAAAGTCACATGATTATTAAGAAGCAACGCCTATCAATCTACATATGAAAATACTATCAGTCACGGAAATAGCTTTTGGCTTGATAGCTTTTGCAAGAGATCTATTCGAGTCAGCATGGCGAAGAGGGAGGCGTCGAACGATCGTTTAGAAAATAGGAAAAATCGCGAAGGAGAAAACGCGTTGAAAAGAAAGGGATCAAAGGGAAGGGATAGGGGATCGAACCTCCAGGCAGTGGGAGGATTGCATCTACATCGTAAAACGGAGGATGATGACCTCCCTTGAGTTACAAAGCATCTGCTAAATAGATGATACACCAGTTGTCATAGGTCTAGTTGCCCTCAGCTTCAGATGAAGACGAGTTCTCTCTAGGATCACACCGCCGGATGTGGTCGCCACGGTTCTCCATGGGGCGGAAGGCCCTTCAGCTGGCTACTGCGGTCGTTGTCTTCCAAGTTCTTCTGCTCCAGGTCGACTGCATCAGGACTAAGCTCAGAAAGCAGCGCTCGAAGCCGGTGCAAGCTCAACAACCTGTCAACGGGCATTACGACTACGCGTACTATGATAACTATGACGAGTACGAAGATACAAACGGTGAGTTTTGCTAAAAATTCATCACTAATACGTGGGTCTTCAAGTGGAAGAAAAATTGTCTTCGTTATGTTTTTGAAACACAAGCCAAGTACCGATTTATACCATTCTTTAGTTATTTTGACAAATTGAAAGTAACGTATCGGTGTTCTTATATTCTTCGAATCGTTTATTATTTTACTGTCTTCAATTTTACTAATTTTTATTTTAAATATGAGAAGATCTTTTCTTCGCAGATATTTGAGCCCAATCTATGAGTATTTGGAGTAGAATAGTTAATAATTCCTATCACATTATTCTCAATGGTCTGATATGAATTAAAGTACAATAATTAATGTTCTTTGGAATAAAAGGATCGTTTTAAGAATTTCTGCGTTTGCCTCATATCTGTCTCTAAGTAATGGATTCAAACTCTTCGATCTAAAATCTTGCTTCAAAAATTCTTGTTCGTCTTGTCTGCACGCGACTTTAAATGATAAAATTATTATTTGATTAGGTATTTCATATAAATAAACGTCAAAGTCACAATTTTATAGATAACGAATTTAAAAATCATGCTCGCAGTGTTTGCGAAAGAGAGAAGCTATGAATAAGAGAAATCATGACATATTTAGAAAATGAAGAACTCATTGCATGAAGAATTTTTAATGCTATCTATGTTGTTTTAATGCTATGAATTTTTAATGCTATGTTGTACTAAATGCAGAACAATTAAAGGAAGGATTAATAATGAACGTAACTAACACCGGAAGTCTTGAATCGGATGCTCTGTTTGGCACTTCGTCTAATGCAATTAATCAATTGCGTTAATTGATAAAAATGAACAATTGACGTTTTTATTGTAGCCTATTAACTGATAGGTACGCGCACCAATAATAAACGCGCGTTCATGCTTTCCGGTTTGATTTTCTTATAAATTCTAATTATTGTATTTACTGTTGCCGATCTGTGTTCAAACTTTACGAACTTATGCATAATTACGAAGCATTTATTTTTACATTTTTGTGTTTAGGCACTGCACCGATATCTACTTCATTACCTACCACTGCATTCAATCCTACCAGCTTGGGTGAGTTTTCAGCTCCGGGATTTCAAACAAATTTTCAGCTAAAATAGAAGTCACTGCACAAGTTTTGTTCATAAATTTCTCGCCTGTAAATATTTAACAATTTTTATTGTTGATCTGTATGTAGGCAGAGAGGAAGCTTTGCCTACAGATACATCGGTTCCAACAACAACTCGTTATTTTCGTCAAGGTATATCAGATTATATTAATAAACGTGTTTGTAAACTTCTAAATTTTTATTCTTCTTTCTGCAGGATATCCAGATGAGATTAATGCGACTTCAGACAGAGATAACCTGGTGAGATTTCAATTAAAAAAACAACAAAATAATGAAATATTCTAATGAGCGATATTTATAGTAAAATATTGTTTTGTTAGCCGTCAACAGAAATCATACCAGGCGAAAGTGGTCTGATAAATTCAGTTGCCGTGCCTGAACTCAGGGTAAATTATTCAATATACGCATTGTTAACAATTCTAGAAACAACCATTTTTTAATTGTACGTGCCAATTAGGGCGAACCAGGTCGGCCAGGAGACGCCGGTCGTCCAGGCGACGTTGGATATCCTGGACAACCCGGAACACCAGGAATTCCAGGTCCTCCAGGACCGCCTGGGTCTGTACCTGATGTAAGTATTTGTTAAATAATTGACATGCAAAGTCCTCCATCAAGTGTACCAACTTTGATATGAAGATTAATATTGTTGCACTAATATAGGTGTCAATGTACTATCAACAATTGGCTTTGTCCCAAGGAAGTGAAGATAAAGGGCCTACAGGATTAGCATCACCTTATATACAAACTCAAATGGGCCCTGTTGGTCCACGTGGTCCACCAGGTATTCCTTTATTCCTTATTTGGAAATAATTGGTGAACATGAATTCACTAATAACTTTATACTTGAATTAGGTCCACCTGGACTATCAGGTCCGCAAGGCTTTCAAGGTGTACGAGGTGAGCCTGGAGAACCTGGAGCTGCTGGTCCTGCAGGTGCACCAGGCCCTCGAGGACTACCTGGTCTGCCTGGAAAAGATGTATGTACAAGACATTTCTCATGAAAATATTTTTAATTATGGTGCATAATTATTTGTTACTCACGCATGGTCTTCCTCTAAAAACCTCTCGGTTAGGGAAACACTGGAGAAGATGGAGAATCCGGTCCTCCAGGATCACCTGGTCCAGTTGGTCCAAGAGGTCTTCCAGGATTGTCCGGGCTTCCAGGAATTAAAGGACATCGCGGTTTTCCTGGGTTAGATGGAGCAAAAGGGGAGCAAGGTGTACAAGGAGAGAAAGGCTCTCTGGGAGCACCTGGACCAATGGGTATAATGGGCCCAGTGGTAAGTATTTTGAAATTTAATTAACTTGTCAAAATTAGAATAGAAAAACATATTCGGTATTTTTAACAGGGCCCTGCTGGTCCACGTGGTGAACGGGGTAGAGAAGGTCCACCAGGACCTCCAGGAATTAGAGGAGTAGATGGAATCCCAGGTCCTCCAGGACAGCCTGTAAGTTGAATTCGGATTAGTGTCATCTTCAGGGATTTTTTTCGTAAACTCCTTATAGGGTGCGGTAGGTAAATCTGGCCCACCTGGTTATCCTGGTAGTCCTGGTATGAAAGGGGATCAAGGAGCTCAAGGGCCAAAGGGAAGTCAAGGTTTACAAGGTCCACGAGGTACGTATTCTATTTTCATTCGTATTTTTCTTCTGAAGGACTTTATGACCTTAAATTGTACAGGAGAAACGGGCCGCCCAGGACAACCCGGTGAATCAGGTCCTCAAGGGCCACAGGGGAAAGACGGAATTCCTGGAGAAAAAGGAAGTACAGGATCACCAGGACTAGTAGGCACGCCTGGTTTTCCTGGAGCTCGTGGTCAACCTGGAATACCTGGGAATCCTGGTACCCCTGGAATGAAAGGAATGCCCGTGAGTTCTTCTACGCTAAAATCTAAACAAATCTAATTACATCAGCTAAAATTAGGTGCTCCTTTAATTTTTAGGGACTTCCAGGTGAAAGAGGATTTAGAGGAGACAGTGGATCAAAAGGTGACGCAGGTGCTCAAGGTCCGCGAGGCTTACCTGGTTCTCCTGGAAATGAAGGCAAAAGGGGAAAACGGGGAATGCGTGGACCCAGCGGTTCCATGGGACCTCCTGGAGAACGTGGAAATCCTGGGGTACCAGGACCTCCTGGAATTGATGGACCTATGGGGCCAAAAGGTGAAACCTCTTTTAAATATTGAAGTTTTACAGTAATATAATTATTCAACAACTAGTCAGAGATAATAAGGTTACTGTGAATTGATAAGGTCAATCTGGAGACCGTGGGTTAGTTGGACCACCTGGACCAAAGGGTGGTATAGGAGATCCTGGACGTCCTGGACCAGCAGGATTGCAGGTTCTATGTCAAAGCAAATATTACTATCTTTATGAATATTATTATCCATGATAAATTCATAAAATAACGTCATATGTGATATCTTGTACACAATTTGTAACATTAAATAAAATGAAAAAAACATTGCAGGGTACACGAGGTACAATGGGTCGCCCTGGTGCCCCTGGAAAACCAGGTAATCCAGGAGATAGAGGAATTCAAGGTGCCGATGGAAAACCCGGTGAACAAGGCCCACCTGGTATACAAGGTGTGCCTGGACTGATAGGTCCTACAGGTGAAAAAGGATACCCGGTACGGAAAATTCTGATATTTTATTTAGAATATAGAGAAACTTTTTTTTGCGAAAGGTGAAAAACTTTTTTATACGTTTTTGCAAAAGGGTGAACCAGGTAAGGCTGGAGAACCAGGAAATCCTGGACCACCGGGTCCTAGAGGTGACACAGGTAAGGAAGGAGCTACAGGTTCGCAAGGCTCACCAGGCCCATCAGGAGCAGATGGTGAACGAGGTCCTCCAGGTGCTCCTGGTGCTAGAGGTTTCCAAGTACGTTTTAAATATGGATTTCGCGTGCAAAATAAATAGTGAGATTTCTTAAAATAATTTGATATAATTAGGGTTTTCCAGGAGCAGGTGGTAACCCAGGTACACCGGGTAAAGATGGAGAACCAGGTGTACAGGGACCACCGGGTCCAGCTGGTGCATCTGGTAATAGAGGTGAACGTGGATTTCCTGGTGAGAGGGGACAAGCTGGTGTACCAGGACTGCCTGGACCGAAAGGAGAACGGGGAACGCAAGGACTTGATGGACCTTTGGTAAGCTCTTCCTCAAATTACTCCAAATTACACTAAACTGAGTGCTTAAAGATATTATTTCTGAGATGTGGAATCTTTAGGGATTTCCAGGAGAAAAGGGAGATAGAGGAAATCCTGGTCTTCCAGGGTTGATAGGCATACCGGGATTGAGGGGTATTCCAGGAGAATCAGGTCCAAAAGGAGAAAGAGGATCCACTGGTCCATTTGGACCCGAAGGACCACCAGGTTATATTATAAAAAATAAATTCATTTTTCATAGATATTATATACTAAAGAGTGGAATATTTGTTTCCAGGACGAATTGGAGAACGTGGACCACAAGGTTTAGTAGGTCCAACAGGTCCACCAGGGGAACCAGCTGAACGAGGCGACCCTGGTTCACCTGGTTCACCGGGAGAAGTCGGTGCTCCTGGTGCTCCGGGAGAAAGAGGACCGCAAGGAGTGCAGGGATCGCCAGGATTTCCAGGACCTCAAGGACTTATTGGTTTACCAGGATTGAAAGGCGACCGGGGTTATCCGGGTTCGAAAGGAGATCAAGGAAACTCTGGCCTTCCAGGTAATACTGATGGCATTAAGCTTGTTAGGATTAATGATTAGCTCGACATCTGTCTTCTTGTATGCAGGTACCCCTGGTGAAACTGGGCCAATGGGCTTGACTGGATTGACGGGAGCTAAAGGAGTGAGGGGTGAACCAGGTCTTAGAGGAGAACCTGGTGCTATGGGACAACCTGGAATACCGGGAGCAGTTGGCGCAGCAGTGGGTTTTAACTTACCGTTAGCTTCTTTTTATAAATATTAGATATATTACATAGTCCAAAACATTTTCAGGGTCCACCTGGCCCAAGTGGACCATCTGGCTCTCCTGGACTACAAGGTATCAAGGGTGCAGCTGGAGAAACAGGACGTACTGGAAGTACTGGACCAACTGGATTCCCGGGATTATCTGGAGCGGATGGAACCAAGGGCGAAAGTGGATCTGAAGGACCTGCAGGTGCACCTGGCCCACAAGGCCCACAAGGTACTCCTGGCGAAAGAGGTATACCAGGGTTTGCAGGACCACCTGGACCAGTCGGTGCTCGTGGATTACGAGGTCCATCTGTGAGTTAGCTACAAATTATCCACTTACTTACTAACGAACTTGGAGGAAGGTTTAAAAAACATTCACTATAAATTACGATAGGGTGAGACTGGAGCACCTGGAAAACCGGGGTCAGAAGGTCCACAAGGACCTCCTGGCTTAATCGGACCAATAGGTCCAACTGGACCAACTGGAGAAGTAGGACCAGAAGGTCCCATTGGTAAACCGGGAATTCCTGGATTATCCGGCCGTCCTGGAGACAAAGGGCCACCTGGTATTGCTGGACCAACAGGATTACCAGGTCCACCAGGTTTACAGGTAAGATAATAGAATTTTGCTCACAATTCTTTGAGACGGTGCGTTCCTTAAGACTAGTGTCCTCTCCTTAATTAGGGACAACCTGGTCAAGCAGGGCCTGCAGGAGCAGCTGGAGAAAGAGGCCCAAAAGGGGAAGCTGGACCGCAGGGTGTAGAAGGACAACAAGTTAGTTTAATAACTTATTATAATGTATTTTATTGTTTTATGGTAATATTTATAATTTTCTTTTATTTTAGGGGCTCAGAGGAAAACCTGGACCCATAGGATTAGAAGGACCAAAGGGTGATCGCGGAGAAGAGGGCCTGAAAGGTTCCAAAGGACACAGAGGATTTACTGGTCTGCAAGGTTTACCTGGATCTATTGGTCCAGCAGGAGAAAAGGGGCCTCCCGGTTCTCCAGGTGTACCTGGCAAGGATGGAGAACCTGGCATTAGAGGTAGTCCAGGAAGAGACGGTAGTCCTGGTCTGATTGGATTATCTGGTAATCCTGGTCCGAAAGGACCTCCCGGTGACGAGGGTCGTCATGGACCACCAGGTTTGCCTGGTCCTCCAGGACCCCCAGGTCCACCGGGTGAAGTTGGATTAGGATATGATGCTGCCTCCTTAGCTGCTCTTTTATCACAAGGTCAAACTAAAGGTCCAGACCCACTATTAGGCGATGAACCACCTAGAATATTTAGTAAAGATATATCAGAAGAAGAAAGACGACAACTCATATTAAAAGCATACAAACATTTAAGTTCATCTTTCAAGAAGTTTGTTAAACCAGATGGTGAAAAGAATTCTCCAGCTAAGACATGTAGGGATCTTTACGTTGCCTATCCAGATAAACCTTCAGGTTTGTTCTAATATTAGATAGTTATTTCCTCTTATTATATCAATGAAGCCTTTATTATGTTATCAAAATTATGATTCTAGGAGAGTATTGGATAGACCCAAATGAAGGTGATGCTAGAGATGCAATTTTAGTGTATTGTGATGCTAAAAGACGTGCAACATGTTTACTGCCAAACCCAGTACGTTCCCCAGAAATTACATACATCACTGATCAAGTTGAAACTTGGTTAAGTGACATTGAAAATGGAATGAAGGTTTGTGAAGCACATATATTTTGTACATTAAGTTATACAACATTCTACCTTTTAAAATTGATTATTCTTTGTATAGATTACTTATAAAACAGACAGTAATCAAGTTGGGTTCCTACAATTATTATCAAAGAGTGCATCTCAAAATATAACATACCACTGTAAAAATAGTGTAGCGTACTTCGATTCTGAACGAAAAACATACAGAAAGGGTATGAAACTATTATCATGGAATGATGCTGAATTAACACCACGTGGAAATCAACGCCTCAAATATGAAATGATAATGGATGATTGTAAGGTATGTCTTCAAATACTTAATAAGTTTTAAATCTTCGTTTATACTATATGGGATCATATTAAATGTGTATTACCATTTGTTGCAGCTACGTAGCGAAGAATGGGGCAAAACTATAATCTCATATGAAACTGATAAACCTATAAGGTTGCCGATAATAGATATTGCTCTAAGGGACATTGGGAAACCTGAGCAAAGTTTCTATGTTGAAATTGGGGCTGCTTGTTATGAGTAACAAAATGTATTAAGTACTGTGACATTTTCATTGAAACAACTTTTTTATATTTCAATATACGCTGCTCAAAAGATGTAACTCTTTAAATTCAGGCATGTGGTCTATTATCTTGAAATAGTACTACTGCTACTGCCTACAACAAGAGTTTTATTGTAATCGTAAAATTTAAGATATTTATGCATCATATTTAATACATTTTTTACACTAAAACTGTTATATCATTACTACCTTGCACACAACAAGTAATATTATGAAATAGTATAACTTAAATGTAAATGTATGTAAGAAATATGATATGCGGTGTAAATACCCAAGTTTGTAAATCCTACTAATATTAAGGATAGTAATTCTACTTATAATTATAGCGCCATAATTTAAATGTATCTATCATGTTACATTTAAATTAATACATTTATTAAAAATAAATATAATAATTTTTTCACGCATTATAATACAAGTATTTTAATATACCAAGTTTCATTATTAACAGGATATCAATTCAA